AGAGACGTCAAGTTGGGAGAAACAGGCGGGAGAGACTGGGAGATGCTGGGGGGGGAGGAGCTGCTGGAGCTCTGCAGCCCCCACTCACCTGCCCTCCTCCGAAGCGCTTGCGTAGGGCTTCAACCTGGTCATTCTCCAGCTTCTGGAAGAGGGGGCTTACCTAGAGCCAGGAAGAAGAGGGGTCACCCCTGCAGGGCTAGCACCCCCAATCCCATCCCCATGCTGCCCTTGGGAGGGCACAGCTTGCCTTCCCCCCCCACCACCACCTACGGTGCCCACACGATGCCCAGGGGGCAGGGTGCAGGTGAAGTCATGGCTCAGGACGAGGCAGTCGGGGGGGATGCAGAGCTGTCCCTGAATGGCCGAGCTGACACTGGGCATGTAGGGCTGTAACATGACGGCCAGCATGGAAGCCATGTTCACTGCCACGCCAGTCACCGTGCCTGCACGCTGCCTAGGGGACAAGAAACCGTCAGTGCCCACCCCTGCCCTGCCACCACCCCTTGCCCCATCTCACCGTACCTGTCCTTCTCATCACCCTTTATCCGCTTCCAAGGCTCATTCACCTGGATGTACTGATTGCCATGGCGAGAGATGCTAAGGATACACCTCAGGGCATCACGGATGCTGGAGGCAGTAGAGGGAGGCTGAGTGCCTGCTGTAGGTCAAGTCTCTGCCCTCCCACCCTCATGACAATTCAGCCCTCGTCCAGCCCCGGGGTTTCAGCTACCTACCGGACTTTCTCCAGCAGCTGGTGGTACTGGCGCAGCTCCAGGGTGACACGGGCCAAGAGCCGCTTGTCATCCAGTGTCAGGACCATGTTGGGGACGGTGCCACCGAAGAACTTGCACACAAACATGCCAGCTCTGGGGACAGAGGCAGATCATGAGCAGAGCCTGGGGACAGAGACGGCCCCTGCCACTGCCAGGGTATCCCAGAACCTGTTGATGAAGTTGCCCAGGTTGTTCAGCAACTCCGAGTTGTTCTTGAGCATGAGGTCACTCCAAGAGAAGGCACTGTCCTGCCCTTCAGGCCGCAGGTAGAGCAGGTAGAAGCGCCAGATGTCCGCAGGGATGCCTGTGTCCTTGGCCATGTCCCCAAACACTCCCACACCCCGGCTCTTGGAAAACTTCCCATCCTCATAGTTCAGGTACTCTGGGGAGGGCAGGACAGACCCCACTGTGAGGCCCAAGCAGGGATCCAGCCATCTCCCAGCCGGGGAACGGCCCCACAACGCAGAGAGACGCTGTCCAAGCGCTCACAGGCTTCCATCGAGCTCAGAGGGGCTTCCAGGTCAAGGAGGGCAAAGGCAGTTCTGTGCCCACATGGGACAGACTGGACTGTCACCAGTACTGAGGCAAAGTGGGGAAGCGTGGAGATGGCCCTGATCCCTGGTGACCCCCTCGGTACCTGTAGCAATGAGGTGGTTCACCAGAGTGTAGTTGTCATCAGCACCCAAGAGCGAGCAGGGGAATATGACACTGTGGAACGGGACATTGTCCTTGGCCATGAAGTTGTAGAGCTCAACCTGACAGGTAGCGGGGGGGAGGCGGGAGCAGGACGTCAGTGGACGCTGGCATCCAGCTCTGTCCTTGCCTCCACCCTGCGGCAGCACCAGGCTCCTACCTGCTGCGGGTTCTTCCACCACCTCTCCCACTGCTCTGTGTAGTTGGCTGTAATGGACAAGTAGCCAATGGGAGCATCAAACCACACGTAAAACACCTGAGGGGAGAGGGATACATAAGCAGGGGACCCCCAGGCAGGGCACCTGGGGACAAACGCTGCCACAAGGGACCAGGTGGGACCCACCTTGTCACGGAAGCCATCAAGGGGCACAGGTGTGCCCCACTTCAGGTCGCGGGTGATGCAGCGGGGTTTGAGCCCATCCCGGATCCAGGAGCGAGTGATGTAGCGAGCGTTGGCCGTCCAGTCCCCCGTGGCCCAGGACTGCTCCAGCCAGGGCTCCAGCCTCTCCTCCAGCTGCAGGGGAACACACGGGGACAGTCAGCGGTAGCAGGGGTGCCCCAAGCCCCCCCACCCTTCCCAGGGAGGAAGCTCACCTTGGGTAGATCCAGGAAGAGGTGCTGGGTGGGCTTCACCACAGGGGCACCCCTGCAGAGCTTGCACTGCGGATTCTGTCAGGAGGAGAAATACAGACTGGAGGGAGCTCAGGACAAGGCTGGGGGGTCCCAGGCAGAGCAAGGGGGTGGGTTGTGGGGTGGTCTCCAGAGAGATCCTGTCCCACCTTCAGCTCCACAGCATTGATGAGTTTGCCACATTTATCACACTGGTCTCCCCGGGCCTCCTCATAGCTACAGAACGGGCAGGTGCCCTCCACAAAGCGGTCAGCCAGGAACCGCTGGCAGTCCTCGCATCGCAGCTGCTCCACCGTGTCTTGCAGCAGGAAACCACGGGCCAGCAGGCGCTGGAAGATGTCCTGGGCAATCCTGGGGCAGAAGAGGAAGAGCAGGGGAGCAGCCGCCATGAGCCAGGGAACCCTGGAGAGCCAACAAGCACCTAAAGCCGGGGTTCCCCCCAACACTCCCCAGCGCCAGTCCCTCCAGGTGAGGCCCTGGGAGATGCAGCCGCTCACGTGGTCTGGTACGACGTGGTGGTGCGGCCAAAGTAGTCGAAGGAGATATTGAACCAGCGGTAGACGTCAGCATGGATAGCGTGGTACTTGTTACAGATCTCCTGAGGCGTCAGCCCCTCTTCCACCGCCTTGGTCTCAGTGGCTGTGCCGTACTCATCCGTGCCACACACGTACAGTGTATTCCAGTTCCGCAGGCGACAGTACCTGCAGGTAGGGGACTGTGACACCCATGCAGGTGTTGGGGGCAGCAGAGCCCCCCACGATGATTCCCTGGCCCCAGGGTCTCACCTAGCAAAGGTGTCAGCACTGAGGACGCAGCCAATAATGTTGCCAAGGTGGGGCACGTTGTTCACGTAGGGCAGAGCACTGGTGATCAGGACATTCCTCATGCCCTCCACAGGCAGCCTGTCACAGACAGGGACAGTCAGAGCGGGCACAAAGAGCAATGGGGCTACCCCAGAACAATGTGGCATCAGCCTGGGACCCTCTCCAGGCCCCTTGGAGGTCTGGGACAGCCAGCCCTAGCATCACCCTGGGACTCACACAGGGTTCTGAGGCTGCCAGGGCTTGGGCAGTGCAGCGGCACCACGAGCCCAAGCATCCGCAGCAGCTGCGATTTCTTCCTCCGTCAGGGTCCGCTCAGCACTTTCTTCTTCCTACGGGGAAGGCTGGTCCCAGTGAGGGCCTGCGTGCCTGCTGCCACAACGCCCATCCCTGGGCCTGGGCAGGGAGCCAGGGCTGCACCTCGGGCTCATTACTGGTGACTCTCTCCACGGCCAGGCAGGGCGGAGGCTCCTTCTGCAGGTAGGACTTGAACTCCAGCAGAGCCTTGGGCATCAGAATGGAGTCAACAGCTTTTCTGCAGGCCTCTGAGAGCGTCATGCTCTGGAACCAGGACCTCAGCGCCTGCAGCTCACCTTGGGGGGGTGAGAGAGAGAGCAGCATGATTGTTACAGCCGTAGAAACGCAAGGAATGCTCCCCCTCAGCACCCCTATTTTACTCTTACTTGGCAGGCTGGTCTCATTCTGGAGGACAGGGAACAAGGTCCCCCACACAACCACATCAGCCACTGACTTGGTGTCCTGGGCCAGAGAAGCAGAGTCAGGCCTTGAGACCACCCCAAACCAGGTTCAGGATTCTGCCTCAAGGCAGGCAGCACCGAGCTCACGTCTCCAGGGCGAAGGTCCCACCCCAGCGGTCTGCCCCACAGAGCCCTCCCCACGCTGTGGTCCCACTCACCCCAGCGAGGTAGGCAGTGCCTCTCCTGGTCAAGTTCTGCTCGATGTGGGCC